AAATTCATAACGGCACCTGGGTATCACCAGATGGACTAACAGTAAACCAAATAGATCATTTACTAATAGAAGCCAAACATATGAGAGCCATAAAAGATAGCCGAAGTTACAGAGGTGCTGATACAAATTCGGACCACTTTTTGGTCAAAGTTAAAATGGAGCAAATAATACCCACAATTAATAACACTAGTTGTAAAAAAATAAAAAGATATAACGATGCACTACTTCAGGAGGGAGAAGTTAAGAAAAAAATTAGGCAGCAAGTTGAAGAGAAACTGAAAAGCCAGACAACAGTAAATGATATAGAAAGCAGAGAGGTACAACTAGAAGAAAAAATTCAAGAAGCAGCGGACTCAGTATTATCAAGAAACAGACAATGTAAACAAACGGATTGGTATGATGAAGATTGTAAGAAAGCCATTAGTGACCGAAATAAAGCTAGAATAAATAGCATAAAAAGAAATAATGAAGAGGGTAAAAAAGCTTATGCCGCAAAAAGACGGAAAGCAAAGAATATCTGTAGAAGGAAGAAGAGGTTAAGTTTAGAGCAGAAACTAGTTCGTATTGAAGAAGATTTTTTACATAAACAAGTCAGGAATTTCTACCAAGAAATAAAACGGGACCGAACCCAGTACAAAACCACATCAAGATATTATAAAGATGAAGAGGGGAATCTGCTAGGTGGAACAGATAAAAAATTAAGAAAGTGGGCCAATTATTTCGAGAACATATTATGTACGGACGACCAAGATAAAAGAGAACAAACGCAACTACAACATGAAGAAGTAAGGGACCCAGATCTAAATGAAGAAGTACCTACCAAGGAAGAAATTATAGAGATCATAAAAAACTTAAAAAACAACAAACCACCTGGTGAAAATGGTATCATTGCTGAATTTCTAAAAGAAGGTGGCGAAATGGTGCAAGAAGAAATCGCTGAGTTAATACGCGAAGTGTGGATCAAAGAAAAAATACCCAATCAGTGGAAAGAAGCAATCTTATGTCCAGTGCATAAAAAAGGAGACGTTATAGAATGTAAAAAATTACAGGGGAACAGCTCTACAAGATACAGTGTGTAAGATTCTGGCCATATCAATTAGAAATAAAATTAAAACAAAAGTTAAAAATTGTCTAGGTGAATATCAAGCAGGTTTCAGAACAAACAGATCGGTAATAGACCAAATTTTTACACTGAAATAAATTTTAGCTAGGTCATATGAATTCAACCTAACATTACACATACTGTTTATTGATTTTAGACAGGCATATGAAAATATAAAAAGAAATAAAATATACGAACCACTAGAATATTTTGAATTTCCACCAAAGATAGTAAGACTGACTAAATGCATACTCAATGATACTAAAAGTAAAGTCATGTCACGGGTTTCGGATAGCTTTATCACCAATAGAGGTCTGCGACAAGGTGATATCAACAGATTTTTTCAATTTGACCTTTGAGAAGATTTTAAGAGAATGTAACATCTACACTAGAGGCACAATATATCATCACAGGCATCAATGCGTAGCATATGCAGATGATGTTACCTTAATAACAAGGAGACCTGCAGAATTAAGAGAAATATTTACTAGAATAGAGAGAATAGCCAGGGAATATGGTTTAGAAATAAACGAAGAAAAAACAAAATATATTGTGATGAGGCTATATTTAAGATACAAAGTTCAAGTAAAGAATATAACTTTGAAGTTGTTAGCCAATTCGATTACTTGGGAGTGACACTAACAAATGGGAACAAAGAGAACCAAGAAATCAAAAAAAGAATGGCCAAAGGTAGTAAGAGTGCTGGGAGTCTGACTAAGATACTGAGATCGAAGATAATATCCAGAACAACAAAAAAACGAATATATACAACAGTTATATGACCTACAGTACTCTATGCTAGCGAGACCTGGACACTAAATAAAGATATGGAAGTAAAATTAGATAGATGGGAACGAAAAATTCTTAGAAGGATATACGGAGGTGTGAAAGAGGGGAACATCTGGCGAAGAAGAACGAATGAAGAAATAATGCAAATATATGAGCAACCAAAAATAACAAGACTCGCTAAAATTCAAAGATTAAGATGGCTCGGACATATAGCAAGAATGAAGGAAGGAAGAGTTTCCAATGAATTAATAAACACGGAGGCTGGTACAAAAAGAAAAAGAGGCCGCCCCCGAAGAAAATGGCTGGAGTCGGCAATAGAAGATCTGAAGTCGCTGCGGGTACAAGATTGGAAAAACTTAAAAAAGATAGAAAGAAATGGAAGAAAACCGTTGAAGCCTTGGGCCTTTGAGGCCTGTTAAGCTAAACTATATATAATATAAGGATTTTTCTAAAATGGGAAATAATTAAATCATGATTAGTGGAGTTTTTGTCAAATGACGTAAGTTCAAAGTAATATGATAGTAAGATTTGAATCCAAGGTAGATTATGATCATATGTGAATGGAAGACATTCAGATATGACAATATTAAACAAATGGTCTTTTATGCTTTTATAGAAAGGTTTAACAGAACGGTGATTTGCATTGAGGTTTAGGAAATTATTAGTAAAAGTATTTCTATAGACAGGATTTTTTGCACTATCCTTAATTTTTGTTGCATACATTAGACTAAGGTAAGCTTTTTTATTAATTTTTATTTAATTAATGGCTTTGGATAACTTGATCCATTCAGCCACAATAATTTATTTGACTACTTGAATTTATTATTGATGTATTAACTCATTGAATTTGTTAACAAAATAGTACTTTGCCTAAAGGTTAATTAAAAATTTATTGTAAACATCAGTATCGCAAGCATCAGTAGATTGACAAGAAACCATACTTTCATTCGTTACATTCAGGTGCCTTTCTTAGCAACTTTATTACAATACAAGACAGGCAAGATATAAGATAAGAATAGACTGAGGGAGCAAAGCTAGATTTATATATTTACATTACAAAGTCCATCCTAAATTTGTATAGTCCCTTTCAAAGATCCCCAACAAATTTGGTTGAGCCTAATATTACGATGAGATATATATATATATATATATATATATATATATATATATATATATATATATATATTTATATATATAATTGAAGTTTGAGGAAGAGGTATTTGTTCTTTTATCAGGTTTTCCAATAGATACTTAATAGTAGCATCATTATATCTGCACCCCAAAAACCAATTAATTATATCGTCAGTGTTAACATTACAATCAGAGAGTTATCTTTTACTTAAATTAAATCTATGAAGATAGGCTTTCATAGTAGGATGATTAACAAGGCATCTAGCAAACATTGATTGTACTCTTCTATTTGGATGACTTCTTGAAGCAAAAGGCGCAGTAGGTAGGACAGAGTGAATTATTGTATGTAGGCTATTACTTTTTAAGTCGCTTTTTTATCAAAATAATCTGCTTTTTGACAATAATACTGTTTTTGTTTATATGCTTATCCGAATTATCTAAAGCAGACAAAGCAGATTTTCAATCCGACAGTATTACGATTTGTTGATCAATTTTCTTCTCAATAGTCCATTTCAGAGCTTGATATATTGCAAACAGTTCTGCGAAATAAATTTAATATTATTGGTTTAAGTTAAACATAATGTGTTCTTAATTGTTTTGAATATATGTACCACAAAACCAACTCTAAAATGGATTTTGACCCTTCTGTGAAAATCCTATACGGCTTAGTAAATTTGACAAGTTGTTTCTGAAGTTTAATGCCGCTGTTATCATCAAAAGTTGGAAAATAAACTTTGATTTAGGAATAAAGAATATTGCAATTAGAATATTAAAAGAATTTAGTTTCAGCTGGGATTTATAAATAGGAAGAAATATTAGGAAATGCTATAGATAAAGTTTTTACAGCTTTACATCTGTCAAAACTTATCCTGGAGCAGACTTGGAGATAGACCACGTTCCACTGGTGGGAGTGTTTCGAGTCAAACTTAAAACAGTGCAAAAAAGGAAAGCACAATCATACGACCTACTTATGCTGAAAGATCTTGATATGAAGATGAGAGTCCAGGCCACGTTAAACGAGCAAGTGACTGCAATTAGAGACGAATCGAATGAAGAACAACGATCAAACATTACTGAAATAGTGCAAAATGTAAAGGATAAACACTTAAAGATAGATAGATTAATGAAGAAAAAATCATGGATGACAGATGAGATCCTGAAACTAATGGACGAGAGAAGAGAAGCCAAAAATGACCCAGACAAATATAAAACCATAAATATATTAATAAGAACGAAAATCAAAGAAGCGAAAGAAAAAGAAGCAAGGAAAAGATGCGAAGAAATTGAGACTCTGCAGTCAAAGTACGATAGTCACAGTGTACATAGGAAAGTTAAAAAACTCACAGGGGGACTAAGACAAAGGCAAAAAGGAAATATAGCTGATTCTAACGGAAACATCATCTTGGACAAACTTGAAGACCAAAGAGATAACACCTTTGAGCTAGAAGAAGAGTTTAATGATGGATCAAGAATATTACAGCAGGAAGTTTATTCGGCAAAAACACAGTTAAAGGATGGCAGAGCGGCAGGCCCTGATAATATACAAGCGGAACTACTTAAACTAATGGACAACGAATCAATAGCAATAATCTCAAAGATATTCAACAACATCTACAACTCTAGAAAAATACAAACAGAATCTGAGCTGAAATCTGAGTTTATTGCACGTCCAAAAAAAACAAGGAGCCAAAAAATGCGAAGATTACCGTACTATAAACCTCATGAGTTATCTCCTAAAATTATTCCTAAAAATAATTCATAAGAGAACCTACAAGCTGTGTGAAAGGCGACGTATACGCATGTCTGGTTGATTACAAGAAAGCGTTTGATTAAGCACAGCACGCCAAGATGATGAAATTACTAAAAGAAGCAGGAATTAATAACCAAGATCTGAAAATAATTAGTAATCTTTACTGAAATTAGACAGCAAATCTCAGAGTTGAAGGTTAAGAGATTTCTTCTTCTTCTTCTTTTGGCATCAAAACCCTGGATGGGACTTTGCCTGTCTGGCTATGTCCTTTCATTCAGATCTCTCTTGCGCTCTTCTTCTCCATTGTCTTATGTTCATTGTTTTCAGGTCGTCTTCCACGTCATCCAACCATCTCGTTCTGGGCCTTCCTTTTTTGCGCCTTGCTATTGGCTTCCATTGTAACATTTTCTTTGTTGTTTTTGCATCGTTTTGTCTGTGCACATGTCCCAGCCATGACAGTCTTTGACTTTTCACAAATCTTACAATGTCATAACCTTCATTTAACTCATTAACCTCGTCGTTTCTCCTGATTCTCCATGTGCCATCTTCCTCTTGTACCGAACCATATACTTTCCTCAGTATTTTTCTCTCGAATGTCCTGAGTTGGATTTCATCTTTTCATTTTCATTCATTTTTTCGTCATTACCCAAGTTTCACATCCATAGGTTACTACGGGTCTAATCAGTATTTTGTAGATAGTCATTTTGGTTCTTTTGTCTAATAATTTCGATGTTATCAATCTTTTATTAGCATAGTATGTACGATTCCCGCTGGAAATACTTGCATTAATTTCGTTACTTACAGAGTTCTTCTGATTGATTTCTGTGCCGAGATATGTAAAGGCATCCACTCGTTTGATAGTATAGTTATCTATTGTGATATTATTTTCATTGTCAGTTATTCTTTTGACTGTCATATACTTCGTTTTTGCTTCGTTTATTTTGAGACCCCTTTTTCTTGCTTCAGGATCAGTTTGTTTGAACACTTTCATTAGTCGTGGCTTATTCCTACTAATGATGGCTACATCGTCTGCATATGCAGTAATTTGTACTGATTTGGTGTTTATATGGCCGGTTATATTGGTTTTTCCGATGACTGCCTCAAGAACTAGATTGAATAGCATGGTTGGTAGGGCATCTCCCTCTCTTACTCCCATGTTGATGTTAAACAGGGGAGTCAGTTCTCCATCTACTCTGACTGCGGCTTTTGAACCCTGCAACGTCATTTTTATGAGGCTGATGTATTTCTTAGGTATACCTAGATTACAAAGGTCTTCCAGCATTCTGTCTCTTTTCACACTATCAAAAGCTTGTTTAAAGTCTATATACATATTATATAGGTCTATGTCGTATTCATAAGCTTTTTCTTGTATCGATCTTAGTATGAATATGTTATCTATAGTGGCTCTATTTGGTCTGAATCCATTTTGATAATCACCAATTAGGGACTGGCTATGTAAAAATCATGCGTGAAGTGAGGAAAGGCTGTATTTTGTCTGCTCTAATCTTCAATCTGTACTCAATCTGTACTCGAACGAAACTGAAAAAGGTATTCTACTAAATGGTTATAGGCTAAACAACATTAGATATGCAGATGACACCATAGTATTTGCGGTCAACTTAGAAGACCTACAAGTTCTTATGAACAAAATCACGTATTACAGTCAACAATATGGACTCAATATAAACGTTAAGAAGACAAAGCTTATGATAATTACACCTTCCTTACAACTACCTCGGCACCATAAGAAATGAAGAATGGACCAACAACCAAGAGATTAGAGCACGTATCGGAAAAGCTAAATCCACCTTCAATCGGATGGGGGCCTCCTTCTAGAGTCACAACCTCTCTCTTGGTACAAAGGTAAGAATGCTGCGATGCTACGTCTTATCTGCCCTTTTTTATGGTGTTGAATCGTGGACCTTGAACGAAGATATGTGCAGAAAACTGACATTTGAGATGTGGCTATATCGGAGAATACTTAAGATCCCGTGGACTGACCGAGCCACAAATAAGGAGGTCCTCAGAAGATTGAATAAGAACCGAAAGGTACTGACCACCATCAAATCTGGAAAGATAAAATTCTTCGGACATATTATACGAAATGAATCCAAATATGCTCTCCTTTAAGCCATCCTACAAGGAAAAATATTCGGAAAACGAAAAGTCCAGGAAGAAGAAGAACATCGTGGTTAAAGAACCTGAGAATCTGTTTCAATACAAACTCTGTGCAGCTTTTCCTCGCTGCTGCAATAAGATAAAGATTGCCATGATGATCGATAACATTCATAACTGATAGGCACATCAAGAAGAATATCATAATTAAAAGAAACTTAAAAAAAAAGGAAAACAAAACAAGTAAATAATTAGAGATATTACAAAAAAAAAAATGAGAGATGAATATTATTCTAAGATCTCAACTTTTAAGAAGATACGCACTGAAGAAGTAGAATACGATAAATCTAATAAAAGATAATTTAAATATGATCCAAGATTCAATAAATGTTAAGTATCGATTTCATGGCAATAAACACAAACTCGATAAGAATAATTCATTAGTCATTCGCTTACCTCGGGATTACTCGTTAACAAAAAATAAATTAATTCATATCTAAAATGATTGGTAGATAATTTGTATAGGTGGCCTCTAGGGAGTTATCAGAAACGACGGGCAATAAAGCCCATTAGTAATGGGCTGTTGTTGGTGATGGGTGTCTCTTAAAAATTATATTCTCAGCCGCCTATCAGCAGTTAAATAAACAAAACAAGGCTTTTATCTTGAACGTTCCAGCGCGAGTCGCGCTCACTTAGCGAATGAATAAATTGTAGAGGTCGTCCTATGACACCATATGCTGCGATTGCTGCGATGCGATGCGACGGTCTGTACTCTTCGCCCTGAGCACTCGATTACCATTATTATGCCCTGTTTTTCACAGCACGGACGGTCGTCTTGAAATTGCAAATTATAATCTTCGCTACAAACGAGATATAAGTGAAAAAAGATGTAGTGGTGTTTCGGTAATACCAATTAGATGAGCTTTTATTGTTTCTAACCATCCTTCACTTCAAAACAATCTAACCTTTCTAAACAACAAGTTAGAATAAAGTCAAATATTCATTCCCCTAACCAAATGAAAAATATGTCTATATCCTAGAACATATCAGATTGATAGGCTTATTCAACAAATGAATACCTCCCTCTAAAAAGGTTGTAAACAGCAAAATCACTTTTTTACAGTAAGTGAAGAAAACAATAGAAACTTTCCCTGTTACAATAAAAATATGTTTATATGATGCTTACACATTATTGTTAAAGATTGCTATAATTTTTTTTTATTTTTAAAATGTACTTTAATACTATTAGACAGAATTAAATTTTTTCAATCTAAAAACGTTACACATGCCCATATGTAACGTTTTTACATTCAATCTAACTAATATTAATTATCTACTTGAAACGTTTTACAACAAAACGCAGTTTAGATTAAAGGAGTATTACAGGAAAAATAAATGCACTGTAAAATGTAATATTAAACAAATAGTTTATTAATATAAACAATACAAAAAATGTATGATTTTATTTTATTTTAAATTTTTAAGTGTTTATCCTACATAACATTTGGATCTGCACTATCTAACGATTGATAAAAAGTTCTTTTATATGGAGGTAAGTAATCTATAAGCTTTAAAAGATCAGCCATTTTTGAGGAATTAATAGGTAGTTTATTAGGATAAAGGATTGGCAGATCGATAGGGTCAACTATGTTGTACACAGGTAATGAGGCAGTTTGTGATCTGTTTCCTTTGGGTTTCTTTATTATATTATAAACCATCCAGTTCTGCACTGGATTGTGGCATGTTCTTATACGAATGGCAGTTGGTTCGTCGTAAGTAAACTGGATCCATCTTGCTTCAGTAATTTTGATATGGGGATGTTTATAGATCTGCAGTTCAATCGACGACATATCCAAAAATTGTCCTTCCATTTCCAAAATATCAAATGGATTCGATTCTCTTATATTCCTAATCATATTTACAACATCTTGAGGATCATGAAGGGTTGCCGTTTTCTTAAACTTTTCAATAGTGGCGAAATCGCGGTCACGTGGAAGAAAACTGTGTCCTGTGACTAGAAATTTCTGATTGACCTCTGTGAAATAACGCAATGAAACTAGGTAATGATACAAAGCTGCCATCCGCCAATTATTGTTCTGTCCTACACACCTATCAGACCATACTATAAGTTTTCTCTCCTGATGTAGACCCAGGATTTCAAAATTATTTTGAATGTAGCGAAATAGTGCGGAGGAAATTTCCCCTAATCCCCGTTTTCATACACTTTCATGCCAAACACACATTGTTGCTCTATTCTTCCCCATATTATGAATACAAAAGATATAAGTAGAATATTGGCTCAAGTAATAGACATCTGAATGGCTTAGATTAGGAGTAAAAAGGACCTGTTGCAAATCAACGCAGAGAACAACCAAATTTTCATTTTTAATAGCTGCCTGTGTATCTTCTACCAACGTTTTATAAGCCTTTTATGCTGATCTGTGGTGCAGTTCTGACTGAAATTGTAGCTGCTTTAACTCTTCATTATTCTGGCTTGCAACCATTTGTATATAAAATTTGTCACAAACTTTACATGTATCAGATCTGGGAACACCAAATCTTAAGTTAAATTTGTCGTGAAAAATTGACCTATACAAGTGTAATTTCACCCTTGTGGTAGGATTCTTATTTCTAAATAATTAGTACATTCTAGTTATGGATAGGTCTGGAGCAAGACATTTCTTTTTATTTGAGTTTCTCGAATAATGGTTTTCTTGGCAAGAAAAAGAAGAAATATGCGTAATGACAAGCTCTTGATCTGCATCAGGAATACTTCGTGGTCTATTGTTATGTTTACCACGACCAGCGTCGATGCTGAGACCTTGCTTAACTTTACTTGCAAGAAGCTGCAATCTCCGCCGAGTTAAATTCAAAACAGATATAATTTGTTTTTGACATACCTGCTGCCGTTGTGAAGCAATAATATTTGCTGGAAGTGAATACCTGATAGTACATTGGCATTTAGATATATCTTTAGGCACAATCCTTCGTTTAGGTTCTCTTAACTCCATACACTCTGCAAGGAATCGCTGCTGCTCATTATAAGAATAATGGTAAAAACGATTAAATATATCAACTTTTACTTCCAAATTCTGGTTAAGCACGGAACAGCCATCATAGTTGCAAGTTAACGAACAAGTTGAATTCTAAAATAGACGTGCTGTCATACACAACAAAAACGCAGGAAAAACATTTAAGGTTAGAGTATACACATGTAACGTTTTTAGACTCACCTCATTTGGACACTGTTTTTAGGCTTTTACAATATTTTTGTGGCCCATATAACTTTTTCCACTATCCTTTAACCTTTTATTCTTTACCTGCTGCCATTGGTCATAGTGTATTTTTCGTTTTTTACCCTTATTTGCCTTTTTTAAAACACTACACATTGGAGAAATAGACGTTGTTTCTGCCATGTTTCTTACATATGTAACCTTTTTAGACTGACCTCAAATTTCAGTACTAAAAATTATAATAGTTTAATTCAACTAGCGACTAAAGGATAGCACCACTGTATATTAAACTGCATAAGTAACCATTTTACATTAAAACATCACTTTATGAAAAATTGTCAGTTGCAACGTTTTTAGAGGGACCTCTTCAAATAGTGAGAACAAAAAGAGAAAAACATTTTGATACACTCAGATGCAAAAAGACGCAACGGAGCAAATTTTGGTCAAACTCAAACTATTTCAGTTTTTTATTTTTAGTCCAATTTAAAGATTTTCTTAGCATACTGTGTAAAAATTTATAAATTGTCATTTAGTATAGTGAGTTTTTAATAAAAAAATTTATTTGTATTTTGTATTTTATTCTATGTCGTCCTTTTTGTTTGTTAATGCACATGTATTTGGTTTTCCTTTCGTTTACCCTTAAACCAGTTTTCTTTGCCTCTACCTCCAATTTATTAAAAGTCTCCTTCACATTGGTGACTGTTTTCCACAATGTCAATGTCATCTGCGTATGCTAGTAGTAGTTTTGGTCCATTTACTCTCAATAATTCTGTTTTAAGTTGTGCTGCTCTTACTACTTTCTCCAGGATGATATTAAAAAGGAGAGGTGACAGCGCATGTCCTTGTTTCAGGCCACTGCTTATTTCGAAAGATTCTGAGAGTTTGTTACGTATCCGTACTTTGGATCTACAGCTATTCACACATAACTTAACAAGCTGAATAAGTTTTTTTGGAACTGAAAGTTCTGCAATTGCATTCCACATTATGGATAGTTCTA